CGGTACGAACAGTACTGCAAAATGTCGGGTACCTACGGATTCCTTCCGTGCTCGCGCGTATACATCGGGTGTCCCGGAAAGAGATGCGAAGTATCAACGTGGAGATCCGATAGGAGACGACGTATATATTCGACGGCGAGAGATATTTGAGGCGCGGAATGCCAGTAAAATAACTGCACAAAGTCTGATTGAGTTTAAGTACAATTAAATTAACAGATAATATAAGGGTCATTAAATTGACACGAAGTTATTTCATTATTGTTTCAAGTGCCAACAGATTCGCACGACTATTCGTACTTGAAGAGCTCAGAGCTTCAAGTGTCACAACCTGTCTAAAGACCTGTCCGAATTTGTTTCTTGAATAATGAACCATAATTCAAGCAGTTTGCGAGTGCGAACACAAGATCCGTAAACAAACGATCAAGAGTTCTTGCGGCGAAACAATCGCATGATTGTATAACGGGAATACTACGAAGGCTTTGATTCGACATTGTATAAATAGCATAAACCTTTGCGGCCTCTAGGGTCTCTACAAATAGGGGACCGCGTTGTATAAACGGTTAGTAGACAAGCAGTAGACTAGAGGACAGGCGGCAACGACTTAGGTCTCACTTCGATTCGAGCGAACAGGGCAGGGGCAGGTATAAATCTTCGCCATTGGACTTCGGCCGGGCGGCAAGCTCCATGGCGGGATTTCTTTCTCTCGCTTAGCCAAAGGAACGATCGATATACAGAGCACGAGTCGAGAAACTTGGACTTCCGGTTAACAGGTCTCGACTGAGAGACGCCTTAAATAACGAACGCGAGCTGTTTTATCTAATTATAAATTGCGAGCTGAGAAAAAGAACGATGTCCTTTGTAATAGATTTAGCTGCAGATGAGTAATATGAGCGGAAATCTCGTGCTATGTATTTTCGTTGAAAGTTCGAGAACAAGGGCAGATCCTCGGACTTCTTGCCACATCACAAGAAGCCGTAACCGCCGTAACATTCCTGAAGCATAGCAAGAAGCTCGGTCGCATGTCGGTGCATGCTGCATCATCGCGCAGTCGCGTGGGTGTGGGTGAAACTGCGTTTATGCGCGCACGCATATCTCGCGTCCTTCAGTGAAAAAGGACGAAAAAGGATGAGCGGTTGAACAAAGAAACGCATGAGAAACGGAGCGCAAAGGATCACCCGTTGTGTTCCAGCGATGGCGTTTTCAAAATGAACGTGTTATTCGTGTGAGAGCAAAGTCGCGGTAGCGACTTATATACATTTATCGCGCAAATCCGGGCCTGTCGCGTAGGCAACATTACCGCGAAAGTAATTCCGGGCGTTTGGTTTATCCCAACGCGAAAGAGGTCGATGGCGACCCTGGGCAAGTCGAGTTACCTGCGAGTGAAGTTATGTCTGAGAAATATCGCCTCGAGTGCAGGCGCGTCGATACGTTGTAGGTGTGGGTTACACTTACACGTATTAAGCGGCTTTCATGCGTGAATATTACCGTTGGCACTTTGTTCCATCGTGATCCTTCCTAACCGCGAATAAAATTCACAGCATCAGATTAAAAAAAAAAAAAAAAAACAAAAAAGACCACCAATCGTAGATAATGACTACATTCGGCAAAAAAAAAAAACAGCTTTGCAACTGTTGTGAAATTCTTTAATAATTGGTCTTGCCTTTAATTCCTCACTGGATCTAAATGGTATAAATCAATAATCTTAAAGAATTTTATAACAGCTGTTTTTTCCACTGAACGCGGTTAATCACGTACAAAAAAAGAAACGAACGCGGGGTAATAACAATGCAAATACAGATAATAGTCAACAGTGTGTGTGTGTGTGTGTGTGTGTGTGTGTGTGTGTGTGTGTGTGAGAGAGAGAAAGAGAAGGTCTGTTTTCTGCGGCTAAGGCCGGTATTCAGATCTTATATGCAAGACCGATCTTAAGTACAGTCTCAAGAAGTCACGAAGCAATCAGAGAGCCGTATTAGCGTCTTAATACATTACTTAAGACAGTCTTGAAATAAGAATAGACTATGAATACCGCCCTAAACTAGTGTACACTTTTGGAACTTAAAATGAGATAATAGGTATACATTTGATATTTTTATATAGTGACTTTAGAAATAAAGACGCAGACCTAGAGAAAGCAAAGAGAGTACCGGCCGTGAACGTCGGTGAACATGTGAGAGCACCCTTAAGCACGCCCCTTCCTCCTCTCTCCGTCACTCTCGCGGCTCGGCGGGCGCGCGAGAGCGTCGAGCTCGCGCACTTGACTGCCGTGCTCTAAGTGAGAGCGCCACGTGACGTCGTCGCGCACGACCCCAGGCCGCTATGTTTCCGATAGCACGCGGCCACCGATCGCACGGCGCACCGCGATTGGCCACACCTTTTCGTGCGGCCGCGCCGCTCTTCGGATGCGATGCAACGATAATAAAATGACCGACTGCTCCTCCTCGTCCCTGTCTCTCTCCCTCGGTGCCGGAACGGGCGACATAACGCGGAGTTGTGACGGATGCAAAATGCATGTGTTACTACTTCGCGCGCGGACCATACACGCAAATGCGAGTGACCCGGCAACGTCGCCGGTCTGTCTATCTGTCTGTCAATCGGTTGGTTGGTTGGTTGGTTGGTTGGTTGGTTGGTTGGTTGGTTGATTGGTTGGTTTGTCAGATATACAAGGTGTCGCACATGAAAGATCTGATCGGTTTATATTTTACCCTTTAACAAAGTATAATTTCGATTCCTCCTTCCCCCTCCCTTTTCTCTCTCTCTCTCTCTTTCTCTTGTTCTTCATTTTTCATGCTTTCAAACCTGATAATATAGACGTACCGCATATCTGTGAACGTTTCAGTATAGCTATGTATATATTATTCCACCAATAGTTATATACATGCTTAACTCATCGGTTCCACCGATTCCATTTCTGGGACACCAAAAGTATTATTGTAATTTTTTTCAGGTAATATGACTGATTTAGAAATCCAGAATTAGAGCCAATCGACGATCGTTCCTGGCGTTTTCCAAAAATGGAGATATTATATCAAACGAGTATACTGCCATGTTTAATAATGTCGTCTTAACTGTATTAGCTGTATACAGACAGTTGGTTCTCTCCCGTCTCTTCGCGGGGATGACACCCGCTCGTCGATACTCTCTTTGCCAGCGTTACGTCATCGAGAGACGCGGATATTAAATGTCTGAATAAATGTAAGTACGATCGATATAGGCGGATCGCTGTAAATAATATATTAAACGATTAAGTTTCTTTTATGCAGAGTATATAATGTGACTTGGGACGAGTAAAAAAATTTTGAAGAGGCGAGCTCTATACTCTTGAAATGGCATCGAAAAAATTGTTTTAATTATACTCTCTAAAAATTCCTTGAAAAGTCCTCACTGTAAGGAATGAAAATTGAGCTGGTCTTGAAAAAAAAGTGGCTCAATTTTCAATCTTTAAAGAGTGAGATTTCACTCTTCGGAGTGACAATTCACTCTAAAAGTTTTAGAGAGTACATGTTAATTTAACGTAGAATTACAATCACTACGAAGCTACGCGAATCTCTTACGTTAAAGCCTTGTTCAGGACACTCTGTATATATCGTGATGTCGTAATTTGCCGAAAATAGAATCGATGTATACACAAATGAGTCGTCTACGGTATAAAAGAGAATCGGCTAGAATCGTGATATGCGATCGTATCGATCCTTCGCGCGCGCGCACGCGATATTTTACAGTTATAAATTAATCACGACCAGATATGTTTAAATTTAATGGTCTGTTCACACATTACGTTATCGAGACATAACGTAAAATATTGTTATTAATACAAAGTATTGATGTAAGCGTTACATGACCGACACGCGCTAAAACAATGTTGCTCCGCGCGTAAAACAATTCTTTTATTCAAACACAATTTTGCTTTAAACGTACCGATCGTTCATTTTGGTCATCATCAAACCGTACAATTACTCTTTCGCATTCAATTATTTCCCGTTGTTTGAACAAAAGAAATGTTTACGCGCCGACATATCGACGTTCTGGTTTGCGTTGCCCGCATTTTAATACCGACTTTGAATCTACTGCTTTATTATATCGTTTCGATACTTTTCTTTTTAGAGAAAGTAACGGTAGTTCCCATCGCGCGTATGTCTACAGTTACAGAATTACCTAGCGTTATTGTGTTGCATAGTTACCCAGGATAAGAGATACCCATGGAACTTGTGCCGCGTTCATAAAACCCGGACGCCTATCGATAGATTGTAAAAAAAAAAGAAAGAAAAACAATTAAATGACGATATAGTGAAGCGGCATAACGCGAATGTCGGCTAGGTTCATAAAATCTCGGACGAACGTCTCCTTTTATTACGCGTGCGACTCGTTTCGTTCCATAATGAATACCTGCCGGACCTGACTCCAGCGTTTATTGGCTCTACGCCAGTGACATAATAATCGTCGGATTTTATCCGAGAGGATCGAGCTGCGGCCGATCTCTGGCGTTCCCGTCGTTGTCGCCGGTATTAAGGATCCGGCAGAAAGCTCAGGTGTGATGGAGAGAACGAGAGAACAATCATGCTGCGGCGACGTGCGTGACAATTGAAACGTCGCGGTTTCGTCATGATATTAAAGGTCGACTCTGGTGATGCACGTTGACGCGCTCCCGAGCACGTGATAAAGCGATAAGTGGAAAATTTGCGGACGAAATGCAAGTCGCTTCGCGCCGACATACGGCAACTACTGCGAGTCACGTGCCTCACGAGCTAATTACTCGTTTCAGCGGTCCGAAGTCGATAAAGTCGATCGAGTGTATCAATAAGCTGTGTGATAATCTGCTAGGCGAGCGTATGTCGTCAGGTCGAACGATTCGTCATCGCCTAACGTCATTATTTTGCACAGTTGTGTTGAGTTTTTCTCTCCTCGACGTTCTCAAAATGATAAAGAAGAATATCTTTGTATACGGGATAAGAGAGAATAGAAGAGAAAAAGAATCGCGTGTGTGTGTGCTACAAGCAGCTCACCCTCGCTCCGAGAAAGCGGGCCTCCAACAACTCCTGCTTCCTTGGGTCCAGGGTGGCCTGAAAGTGCTCCATCTTGACGCCAGCGCCTGCAACAACAAGTCACAGCGAATTACACTTCGACCTTTTCGCCCGTGGCGTTTCGGTGGCAAAAGAAACGAAGAATCTGCGATAAGAATCGAGAAGCGTATCGACGATCTATAAGAATCGATAGCATACGGATCGATGTGCTCCGTAGAGATCTGATCTTCTCGACTGATTTGATGGCGAAATCGACGCGATATATCAGAATAAAAGAAATGAAGACAAGGCGAAGAGAACGAGAAAAGGAAAGAAAAAGATTAAGCAAGAGTTAGCCGTGCGGAAAAAACGTAAAGAGAAACGAGCTATCGCAAAAGTTGCCGGATAGAGCCGATATTAAATGCCGGATAATGCTATTACGCGCCAAAGTATTCGCAGAAGATGATATTCGTGCGTTGCAATTTTACCGCGATTTTCCTATTGTATCGTACATGTGAAGATCAAGGGCCGATATTTCTGGAAAAATATCGCGTACAAAAATGTACAAGAATACTATAATATACTCGTATGTCACATATATTGTATATTTCTCTAATATTTTTTTCGTATGCGATATTTTTTCGATAATAAGATTCCTATTCCGTATTCTTAACGACAAGTGTTGACGTCGTTACATTGTTCTGCGGGTTTTATACCTGATAAAAAAGCACTGCACTGCTCTGAACAAAAATAAATTTTAATAAGTACTAGAATAGTTTTAAGTAAATATTTACTAAACGTATACATATATTTATTTGATACGAAAACCATTAACCTTCCATCATCCCGAAATTTTCGATTTCATTGTTTTCTCTGAGTCGTTGAGGGAAACAGCATACATTTTTTATGGGATTTCGGATTACATAAAAATCAGGAAAAAAAATCTTTTACACTTGTGAACAACTTTAACAATAAGTTTTTGCTGTAGTAAAAACTGAATCGTATTTTATTTATTTTTTACATATTGAAATCTGAATAAGAATTGAGAAAACGTGATATTGTCTTAAAAGACACAAAGTGGCGCTGGAGGGTTAATTTGATTTAACTGTCTTTTTTTTATTGAGTAAATATTTGTTTGCTATAAAGTATTAATTGAAGAAATATTAGTAAATTTTTTTCCAGCGTGTAAAACGACAAATATAACTGACACTGTCATTAAGAGTTTCCAAAATAGAGACTGAAAGACAAAATTATTCAATGATGAAAAAACGATTTTGTTGGACAATCAAAATAATTGTGTACACTGTTAAAATCATATACTCAATTTGAATTAGTTTTAATCATTTCTATAAATCGTCACGGCTCCTACTCAACATGTTGTTAATATAATTAAAACAATGGAATTTAAACTATTCAACTCAAGACTGTATTAAATTTGATTAAGATTTAATTTTTTATTTACTAGGTGTATTAATATGGACGTTGATTGCTTTGAAACTAACTATAGAAATCGATTGATTTACACTTTGACACATGAATGTTACATACAAGTATATATTATATGTAGTGTCAAATTTAACTTAAA